CTCTGCACATAGCAGGGGTTTGAAACTAGATGATCATTGTGGTCCTTTTCAACCCAGGCCATTTTGTGATTCTATGATTCTTTCCAATCTATGGCATGAGCACCTGGCTTACTTTGCATTTGGCAATGCAGTGGGGTTATTAAATATACTATATTGATGGATACGCGTTTTGCTAGGCACAAAACTTCTTGCTTATACTTGTGGCTTTTGTGTCTTTTGTCTAAAACTTGTAACTTGATTTATACAAGAGGAACCAGGTATACCTTGTAAACTGCCGAGTTTTGTGTGATCACATGACACTAGCGTAATAAATTTCAGCATTTCTTTCTTGATTTCTGGCTTACACATCTTACTAGCTGGATAGAGTTTGAGGGGGAAAAAAAAGACAACTGCTCATTTGGTAAAATCACGATACACTGATCCTGTGAGTAATGTATGCATGAATTAACTCCAACAATGATTTCCCCTGCCAGATCTAATTCCCAGGTCTAATTCTGAGTGACTAACAGCCTCTTCCTGGAAAAGAGGTGGTAGTTACCAAAATGAGTCAGAACCTTTAAGTGAAGGAGCTCAACTTGGCAAATTACAAACATTGCACTTGGTACAGTTAAATGCTAGGCTTGGTCCAGTTGAACAGATTTTGTCAGGCAGTTAAAATTGACCTGAGGTCCTGAGACTGCAGCTACACAGCTATGGTGAACACAGAGCTGCAGGAGATAGCGACATCCTCAGCTCTTCCCCACTGTCATTACCTGTTATCTGGGCTACCACTTAACAAATACGGCTAAAAGTTAAGCTTTTCTTGTGCTCCCCCTCTGTCTACTCAGGTTGCAGTGCTGGCTTATGGCTGGGTATATTCAGGGCTGGACAAATCCCTAGTTTTAAGTTGTGCTGCAGTCTGTCATGGTGACTGCTGCTACTTCCTACATGCCCTACCTACTGTGAATAATTGTGTAAAGCTGTATTTGAAGCCCTCCACAATTAGTGTAAAAAGCACTATATAAAGTCCTTTGTGATATCTGATTGTTCCATGTGACTACCATAGAATTTAGTAAAATCAGTATTAGAAAAAACTTTCAAAAAAGTACCAGAATACCTTTTCTTTGTTTAAATTTGAAACCATAGGTTTTGAATGTGCCTTCCTTTGTTACGAGATCTTAATGTTATATGCTACTGAGATTTTTGTACACTTGCTCTTGCATGGTGCACATAACGATTACAGGAAGGCTGTTCTAAAGTTGACTGAGCTGACAATGTCTTGTGATCTGTATATTTGATCTGATTGATGGAGATTCCTAGATGAGGATCATACCGACTACTTCAAGATCTATCATGAAGAAAAGAACAAAAATGAATTCTTGAATAAGAAGTATTACAGGGATATGTTCTACTGTGGATTTGCATTGCCACTCTGAAGGACTTATTTTTCATTCTGAAGCAGAATGCACATCGAATACTTGTTTTTTCTTTTTTCTTTTTTTCCCCTAACAGATGCAATTTTTGTTCTTCCTTCTGAGCTGATAGCACTGGTTGTTGTCACCTTCTTGGTGTGGCAGCTGTCTGTTGAGGTTGTCCCATCACAGAAGGGAAGCGTGCTATTTCCTACAGTGTGCAAGAAAGCACTGCATGTGGACTTAATGCTGTGTGTCCACTGATGTGACCAGAGCAGTTCTTGACTACTTGTGGTATTGCTGCATGTGACAGTCTGTCCATGGCAGTGTCTGATTCAGGTACTCCTTTATCACTGATGGACGTAATCCTTATTCTCTGGATATCTAAGCACCACTAGGAAGAAGACTGGCAAAACTGTGAGGTCTCACATATAGCACATAAGCTGAAGTGAAAATAACAATCAACATCAACTGAGAACTTGACTGTTGGCTTGGCCAGCAGGTGGCCTTTCTCTGGCAGTGATTGATGTTCCTGTCACTGATGGTCCAGTGATTGCTGTGCTTAAAGTTGTAGTCATCATTCTTTATATTGGCAGCATTCATTATAATTAGAGTGGCTGAGGATTATTATTATTTTTAATATTATTTCAGTGTTACATCCTTGGGAGTAGTGTTTTCACATATCTTACTGTAATGCTGTCAGGGCTGGCTGTTCATAATTCTGAAAACTTCCTTTTTTTTCTGTAGTATTTGGAGGTTCACAGCTTTGCAGTTAAACTGAAACTTGCAGGATTGGCAGCGCTTCCTTTTTTGTGCTAGTGGAACTTAGAAGTGAGATCAGGAATACTTTGCAACAAAGGCTGCCATTTCATGAGATTTTTGGATGAGTAAGTATATCTTAGACAGGAGCAAATGCAGATGTTTCATAAATATCCCCGCAAAGCTGTAATACTCCAGAAATAATTAATACCTGATGGAGGGGGAAAACTCATGTCTGACACTCTGGTTTGCTTGTTAATTGTAGCCGTTCTTGAGAATTTGTATGAAGATAGTCAGTGTGCTCCCTGTGGTTTGACTGGGCAAGATACCAGCGTAAGGAGCTGCAGCAGCTGCCGGTGAACATCCAAATGGAGCGTACCCATTTTTGGAGGTTTTCCAAGATACACATTCTTGCAGGAGAGAGAAGAATCTAAAGCATACCATAGTAACAGTGATATGTCATCTGCCTCTTGCCACAGAATTGGAGGTTCTGATTATGAAAACTGATGATCACAACTGCTAAGATGATTTTACTGATGGTAGCAGAATTTAAACAGTCTCCTCTTAAGTCTGTAGATGGCTTCAGGGAGCAAATGGAGAACAGCAGGGCTGAGAGCAGTTTCACTGCAGTGTCCTCCCACAAATACCAAGCAAGCATGCTTCTTGTGGTAAAATAGCCTTCCTCAGAGTACTGCTGGTGCAGAACTTCCAGCGTAATGGGAAGCATTCATGCACTGAAGTCCATCAGCAAGTTTTCCTACACAGTATACTGTGTGCAGGCACTTGCCGAAGTTTCTGCGTCTCCTCCACCTGACCTTTTGTTCATCTCTCGACTTCCCTGCTACTTGCGTGTACTTTTTCATACCTTAAGACGAGCCTGCATAGAAGCCTTCTCCTTTAACTCTGCTGTTTTTTCATACCACCTTAACTGGTTGCAATGGGTTAACAGAGCTGCAGGCTAGCCAACCTGAGCACCTCGAATGGGCACTGCCTGAGGGCAGGCTGTGAGGCTGCTGCTCCCCGGTGCTGATTTTGGAGGCAGCAGCAAGCACTCCTTCTGCTGTCCACGTTCAGAAGACTGTCCTGGCTGTGCTGTGTTCAGCTACAACCCCTGCTGTGCACGAGGTAGGACAAGGGCTGCTCCAGCCACAAACTGGTGGAAACAGTGCCTACATTAAGCCTCAAGATTTTGTGTTGTATTTCAGGGTAATCCAGTACAGTAGCTGTGCCAGTGCTGTCTGCACGCAATGGGCTCACAGTGCATTTGCTAAAACATAAGGCTTATCACATGGCCTTTCCGTCTTCAGATGCAGAACTAGGAAGTGACACAGTCTGAAGGGTTTGCCCAGAAGAGGTACTCACAGACAGACACCTCTTTGCAGCTTGTAAATCTTCTGAAGTCACAAAATTTTATTTCCTGTGAAAAAGTCAGAATGAAATTTTTGCACCTTCATAGTGTTGTTTTTTTCAACTTCCTACTTTAAAACAGTGAAAACTCAAATTGTGTTTTCTTCTGGCAGCTAGAGAACAAAAAGCCAGTTAGCTGTAAGCAGGAAGCCCCAGACTTTAATGAGGCTTCTGTTCCTTATATAGGAACTTGCATCACAATTTGCGAGTCCTGCAGGAGTGGGTTTACAGAGCAGAACAGCTGAGGATGCAGCTGTGGTCCTCACACATATCAGAGGAGGTTGCCTTATGCTGCCTCTACGCATCCACGGGCTCACTTGTAATTATAGGTTGCAATCTGGTGCATGTAGTTAATGAATAAAAATATTTGAGATTCACTTCACAATTCTGAATGAAGTTTAAAATTTTAATCTAGATACTGTTTGCAGTGGCAGGTAACAGTCCGTTATGATTCATCCCAGTGAGAATGACTCTGCAAAGCAGCATTTAGAATGCTGCTTATTAGAGATAGCACTGCAAGGAAATACAGTGCAGTGCAGACAACCTCACGTTCCTGTGGATGCCTGAACCCTGAGCTGCAGCATTGAACATCCGTATGGTGCACTCAGTTCAGACCCCATCCTTGAACCTCATTTTGGATGTGGTTGAGGCAGATGCATGGTGTTATTGCTGCCTGTAGGCTCTTCTGTTATCAGTAGCTGGGGAAGTTTATCCTGCACCCATGGAACGTGTGTAGCACAGGGTTGGGTATGCTGAGGTTGGCTGTTACATGGGTCATGAACTCCTCCACATACAGTGGTCTTCTGGTCAAGATTGCCCCAGTGCGTTCAGAACCGGTCCTCTCCCCCATGTCCCTCATACTGGTAGGTGATGATATATATTTATTTCATTTGCTTTCTTTTGTAATCACATAATGAGAAGTAGTTCAAGTTGTGAGCGTATTAAAAAGCTTTGCTATTCAGAGATTTTAGTTACACTGAGGATGAGTACGTATGGCAAAAGTAGGTGATCACAGTACCTTGTAGTGGGATACAAACCCTATGGAACAGTAGCAGTTCTGTTTTTTAAAAAAAGAGAAAACTAGCTCACTACTTCAGATGACTGGTAACAACTCAGTCTCTATCCAGAAGGATGCTACTCCTTGGCTGCTAACCTGTAAATGATGCTGAGGAGGGCTGGATCCAGGCTCCACCCCTTCTGATCAAGGTGGATTGCTTGCACCTGAACTCCTGGGTTACCTACGCCTTCCCACCTGGTGCTCAGCCGTTCGTTCAGGCTGTGACCTGGCAGTTCCACTGCAGGGTTTGCATTTTAGGGTTGTTTTTTTTTTTAAGAGCATTGTGATTAAATGATGAGTATTCACGTATAACTATAGAACTGAGATGTAAAATGTTATCGCTGTAGATGCTATTGATCTGCTCACTCATTTTGTTTTCCTTACAGAATCAAGGCCATTGAAAGTCCCAATAAAGATGATGACACACAGTGGCTGACTTACTGGGTTGTGTATGGTGTTTTCAGCATAGCAGAATTCTTCTCTGATATCTTTCTGTCCTGGTTCCCTTTCTACTATATGCTGAAGGTATTTCAGTTAATGTACCACCACCCCTCCTAAAATACAGACCTACAACCTAACTACTTTAATGTATTCAAGAATAAATAGATGTCAGCAGTTTCCCTCAGAATGACTCCTGGGTCACATTTTATTTTTAAATGTTGGTTACACTTTAAAAATATATATATAACAGTATGCTGGAAACCTCATAAAGAAATACAGAACTACTTATGTTATTCAGATGAGTTTCAGACGATGTAGTGGTTGCTTTGAAAGCTCTGTCTTTCCACTGCTGGTGATACTGATGTGAAAACAGGAAAACTGAAATATAAACTATACAAATAAATACTATTTGCCACAGTTAGTGAAAAGTAGCATTACTGTTTTAATTTCACAGCAGATCACTAAAGTTGCTTATAGTTACTCTGAATTTTAAATGTCTAGTTTGATACTTCTATACATACTTTCAGAGCTCAGGCAAATTTAGTTGTGGCACTTCCTGTATTTGAGTGTTTTGACATTATTTTATATAGCCACCTTGGTAGTGTGTATGATGTTGAAACTGAGGACATACAAAGGTGCTTCTGTGATGAAGAGGCATGTAGAATTGGAATTGTAGGGTTTTTTTGGTTGGGTTTGTTGGTTGTTCTTTTTTTTTTTTTTTTTTTGCTTTCCTTAGAGAGCAAATTGTAGTATAAAAGCTCTATATAAACTGTGCAATCCAAAATAATTACCTGGTCTTGCACAGTGTGTATCTGTATCTTTTCATCATGTCGTTTTACCATTGGGATGCAAGCAAACACAGTCTTTCCCCTGCAACATGTCAGGGTGAGGAAATAGAGATATATATCTTAGCTTGATCTAAGTGATGGAAGAACGTAAACCATCAGTTGTGCCACATAAGTCAGAAGTAGCTAGAGACTAATGTTTTGTCAGCTTTTATACTACTTCTGTACCTTAGGATAAAAGAAAAACAGTATATGCAGTCTTGAATCACTTTTTACCAGTTCCATTTTACTGCTACAGCCCACCATCTTCATCAGTATGCATAAAATTACTGTATAAAGATTTATCGTGTGAAACAACTGATGTGCATGCTTACAGGCTGTGGCCATACAAAATGGAGTTGATGTAGTGTTTTAAATAAATACACTGAAGTCTGCGGCAGAGTTAGGAGGGCACATTCCCCTAGTCTCCTACTTTTCTACTGATGCAGCTGCTCTTCCTCCTCCTAGTGTGGCTTTCTGCTCTGGTGCATGGCTCCCAGCCCCTCTAATGGAGCAGAGTTCCTCTATCACCGAATCATCCGGCCCTTTTTCCTGAAGCACGAGGCTCAGCTGGACAATGTTGTCAAAGACCTGAAAGACAAGGCTGCAGAGACTGCAGATACCATTGCTAAAGAAGGTGAGTAAATGACTGTTCACTGATCACACCATGTAGGAAGAATTTTCCTTTGCAGCTCTAGTCTGAAAGTTAATATTCACCATTTCTGGATTAAAAAAATCCCTAGAAGATTATTCTGTCGGCTTTAATGAAGAAATTAATTTGTGTGAAGCTATCAAGAGAAGAGAATTCAAGTGAATTTTGCTTTCTAGGGTTAGAGTTACGCTAGAGTAAACACAAGCTGTATGAATATAAGAAACAACTAAATAGGTGCAGTATCTTCCCAATATACATAGCGTTATCAACACTCTCTCTAGGCAGGTGTCTAAACATCCTCACAAGATATCTTGCATAAAAACAGTCATTGTTTCTGTGTATTCTTGCATCTTTTAAAATACTGCCATTTCCAGTACCTGGTACTGTAGAAGAGCTGCTACTTGTCCAGTCCTTGAACTGTAGCAAGTGACAACACTTGAAATGAAGGTTTCCTGTCAGTAAGATTTTGTATTTTCCCTTCCTTTGGAAATTGAAGATTTCTGAGCCAATTCTGAACTTAGATTTTTATTTGGTTGAATAATATAAGCCTGGAGTTGTGTAACTTTTGCTTTCATTGCCTTGCATTGAAAATTGGACACTTGAACATATCTGATGGTAATTTTATGAATAAAAGAAGAGAATGTAAGTAGCTGAAAAAAAAAATCATTTAAAATAAATTTTATCTATTAGATACCTCAAAGCACATTATATCTCCTTTATCCCAAACAAAATACGCAGTTTGATTTCTTTTTATAAGCTTCTTTTCTTGAATGAACACTACTTAAATGGTCTGCCTTTCTCAACTACTCTTGGAACTTTTGCTGCTTTTGCCTTTCTGGATTATTATTGTTAGATAGGTATCTTAAGCATCAATGACCTTCCATGTTGCTTATGTCTCATTTTCTCACTTATTCCTTTTAGTTTATTCTCCAATATATCACTTATTCTTTTGGTAAATACCTGAAGGGAGGGTGCAGAGAGGACTGAGCTAGACTGGTTTCAGTAATGCTCAGTGCCAGGGCATAAACTGGAGCACAGGAGGTTCCCTTTGAAACCAGGAAGCACTGCTGTGCTGTGCTGGTGATGAAGCACTGGCACAGGCTGCCCAGAGAGGTCTTGGAATCCTCCCTAGAGGTCTCCGAAAGCTGACTGGATGTGCTCCTGGGCACCCTGCTCTGGGTATCCCTGCTGGAGCAGGGGCTGAGCCATATGGACCCAGAGGACCCAGCCAGCCTCAGCCATTCTGTGATTCTGTCATTGTATGATTCTTCCCTGCTTTACCATAAAATGGTTCCACATTCATACCTTCTTTAAGAAGTAATGCACACAAACGCATATTCTAGCATTGTTCCATCCCCATTTCAGCAGTTTGATTGTTGTCTTGCTATAAGCCTGTATGTTCTAAGGACCATCAGCAGCTCTTATTTTCTCAGTAAAATAATTGTAATTCACTTTGTGCTGTTAATTATGCTGCTCCTGGGATCTGGCTTAATTTTGAATAAAATAATAGTTTTTGTAGTTTCATCACTAAAAGCTATTATTTCCTTTTGTAGTGTAACAGGTAAATAATTTATTTCTGCAGCTCATGAACACTGAGTAAGCTGCTTAAGAATGTAGGAGCACTGCTAAGATTAAACTTTTATTTTTCTGCAGCCAAGAAAGCAACAGTGAACTTGCTGGGTGAAGAGAAGAAGAGCACTTAAAACTTTTAACTGGATAAAGCTTCCCAACCACCTTTATTATGAAGCTTGATGTTATGGGGATCTGTGGTATAATTTTAATAATGTTGCCTTGAAAATGTTTTGATATATTAAAGGAATGTGATATAAGTTTGCTTGCTAGTTTGCTGTTGTCTGCATAGAATTAATGCATTTTTATTTAAAAGTAATGCAGTGGGCAGTATCTGAAATTTAATGAAAATATTTTATTAGTCTTCATGGAAAAGTCTTACAGTAATCACCTTCTCCAGTAACATAAATAAAAAGTATATATCTCAGAGCCTCTGCACTTCAGTTGTCTCTTTGTGCATGTAATTACTTTCAACATTGACTGTGTTGCATCTAGTAACATGACATTATTTTGCAAGGAAGATATTCATCTGAACAGATTTTCTGGAATATACAGAGAATTACTGAGACAGCTGGTGTAGCAAATTTATTCCTTGCTAGTAAAGTTATGAGTGATGATAGGCATCTCGTGATAGGGACTATGTAATGTTGCATGTTTCTGTATAACATAATATTTACTACAGTGTTCATTTTCTTGAATGGATAGATACAAGATGTGGGAAGAGTAGTTTTATTCAAGTGATCAGGCTTATATTAGTGTGGGGTTATTTGCCAGACATGGATGCATTATATTGCAGAAGATAAGCACAAGATGACTAAAGATGGCATGTACTTGCTATCTCTTTCTAAATAAAGTTGTCACCTAAAATTGTAAATGGAGTGCCTCATAATATCACACTCAAAAGCATAAACCACCTTTCATAAGGAGTGCCATTACAAACACTTGTTTCTGCGGTCCTTTTGAAGCTTTTACTGTCTTAGGTGTTTGTTGGTCTCCAGAACTGCACTGTTACTGGATCAGCCTGGAACCTCCCCAGGCTTTTTGTGCGCATTAACATCTGCAGTCTGTTCTGATTGTCCAAGAAAACTTTGTGTGAGCAGTGAAAATTCCAGAGTAGAGATACAGATTTCTTCATGTATCTTCATTTCCTCGTGACCAATTGGTAAGAATGGAGCTAAAATAAAGAGAATAAATGCTTTTTCACAGTTGATGGCTTTTTTTTTTTTTTTTTTTTTTGTAAATCTGAAGCTGTACTTAATATTTCACATTACAGTATTTTCAAGAAATACAAAATTACTGAAGTCATGGTTCTCATATCCATGCTGGTATGTCTTCGGAGCATGCAGTAGTGCTGTGACTGTTCTTAACTCACAAAACACAGACAAGACAGAAGGCAAACTTGAACTTCTGATGTGATAAGAAGTCATAATCTCTGGTCCTCAATCTTTAAATTAAATAGTAAATCTTAAAATGGACTCCTGAGGATCTGGGGATTTTCTCTGAGTTGGTGTAGGATTATTCACTAATTTTTCAGGCACAAGAACCATAAACAAGCATGCAGTTTGTCAGCAGATTTAGCTTTAAAATTGAGAAATGCCTATTATAAAAAGCGATGTAATAGTGTCTTAAGAGTATGCATGTAAAACATCAGGCTGTAAAACAATCCCTTACAGCTGTCAAAGAGCAAGGTGAATAGGGAAGTACAAGATCCACTACGCATCATTTTCTGTAGGACAGCATACAGTTTGTCATTCGTTAGAAAAATGAATACTATTGCAGCTTATGATTTGCCAACATTATTTTATTATGTGTGGATATGCTGTAGAGAACACATGGTAAAGCAAACTTGTAGCTGTGAGCTACAAAGTTTAAAGTAACCTACAAATTTGGTGGTTTCATTTCTTGTCCTGTTTTTCAGTCTTTTACCTGCTTTTCTGTAAGCCATAGTAAATTATAATGTTGTGTTTTAAACGCTGTTACAGAATCACAAAATGGTTGAGGTTGGAAGGAAGTATTTGGGATTATCTAGTCCAACCTCTTTGCATCAGGGTCATATTTTGCCCAGGATCACATCCAGGTGGGTTTTGGTTTCTCCAGTGACAGAGACTCCACAACCTCTCTGGGCAGCTTTTCCAGTACTTTGTTAAGCTCTCAGTAAAGGAGCTTTTCCCTTGTGCAGATGGAACTTTTCATGTTCCAGTTTCGTGTTACACAGCTTCTTGCCTGGTACCACATAAAACAGTCTTGATTCCATCCTGGTGATTACCTTCCCTTAATGTACTTGTATACATTAATAAGGTCTCCTCTGAATTTTCTCTAGCTGAGCAGTCTCAGGTCTCAGCCTTTTTTCATAAGGCTTCCAGTCATCTGCTGGACTTTCTCTAGAAGTTTCCTGTCTATTGAACTGAAGGACCCAGAACTGGACACAGCACTCCAGATGTGGCTTCACCAGGGAAGAGCAGAGGGGAAGGATCATTTCCCTCAACCTGCTGACCATGCTGTTTTTATGGCACCCCATGATACCATTGGCCTTGGCCACAAGGGCACACCGCTGGCTCATAGCCAACCTGCTGTGTACCAGGACACCAAAGTCCTTCTCCACAGAGCTCCTTCCCAGCAGGTCAGCCCCTAATCTTTACACATGGTTCTTCCTCCCCAGATGCAGGACTCTACACTTGTTCTTACTGAACCTCATTAGGTTCCTCTCTACCCAACTCTTCTTCAATCTGTTTAGGTCTCACTGAATGGTAGCACAGTCCTCTGATGTGTGAGCCACTCCCACAGCTTTGTATTGTCAGCGAACTTGCTGAGGGTGGACACTACCCCTTCATCCAGCTTACTGATGAAGATGTTGCATGAGACCAGAGCCAGCACTGACCCCTAGGGAACAGTACTAGTTACAGGCCTCTAAATGGACTGTACATCTGACAGCCCCGCTGTTCATCCAGTTTTTAATTCACCTGGCTGCCCACTCATCTAACCTGCATCTTCAGATTTTGTGAGGATGTCACAAGAGACAGTGTTGAAAGTCTAGGTAGGGGACACCCGCTGATCTCCCCCATCTAAGCAGCCAGTCATTCTGTCGCAAAAGGCTAGGAGGTTGATGAAGCTTGATTTCCCCTTGGTGAATCCATGCTGACTGCTCCAATCACCTTCTTGTCCTCTATATGCTTAGAGACGACCTTCAAAATAAGCTGTTCCATTATCTTCCCTGAGATGAAAGTGAGGCCGACAGGCCTGTAGTTTCCTGAGTCCTACAGCCCAGTCAACCACATATAGAGGAGTTGCAGAGTAGTTTAGTTTCACCTCTTGAAATAATTTTAAATAAAGGTACTTAAAATTTTGATTCAGGTTACAAATTACTTGTCTGAGACCAACAAGGAACTTGCCCTGTGCTGACTCAAACAACTCAAGCAGAACACATTGCAAGAAGGGAAGCTAGAAGGACGGATCGAGCCTTGCAGAGGCAGAGTGGCAACATGCTTTTCTCTACTTCTTACGGACAGCACGTTTCCTCCTGTGGTTGAAAACCATCAGCTTGAGTAACTCCACACACTGAAAAATACTGGTTTGAGCAAATCATTGAAGAGGGTGTGTAATAACTGGAGACCCTTGCTGAAGACTCCTGAAACTTTTAGAACATCTAACTGCAGAGACATGGGGGAGCTGACATCCCAGCGGCAATCTTGGACCATCTGTACTGTATAAAAGTGGGCATGCACATTTATCTTTGTTGACTCAATACTCACAGATCAAGACAACACCAGATCTAAGGAATGGTGGAATACTTAATATCTCTTTTCTTCTCTTTCCTCTAGATCATCTTCTACTCATTTTTCTGCAGCAGCCATTGCCTAAGTTTGCCTTAGAGTAGTTGATAAAGTAAAAACATTCAGGCCAAGTACCCTATCCATAATGCCTGTAATTGCTGTTAGAGTATTACCTAATTTTGCTTCAAAGTAGTTGGTTAATTGTTGTTAGAAAGCTCAATAAACTGTATTGCATTGTTCCTCTGAGTCACTGTCTGACTGTTGCAGGGAGTGTCCTATTCAAGGGATTCCAGACTGACCTTCCTTACAAGCTACTGAGTGGCATGAGGCAGTACTGAATAAGTCATTTCTCCAAAAAGCTCTTAAATCTGAGACTTTCCATCACTAACCAAAGCAGATTCAAGACTTCCTTCTCAATTCCTCAAACTAGTCAACGTCTTCCACTGTCAGTTCATTGTCATCTTGCGCTCTTGCTTCCCTCTCTTGCTCTTCTCTGTCCAGAGAGCAGCAGTAACTAATAACCTCTGACCACCTCCTTGTTTCTAGTAACAAAACCTTCAGCTGCTTCAGCAGTGTCCATGCTGTTGTTTGTGTCATGTGGCATTCCACTGGGCCAGAGAGCAACTCCCTCAATACAGAATGGCTTAGGTTGGAAGGGATTTAAAGTTTATTTCTAACCCCCTCTACTGGGCAGAGTTGCCATATCTGTGTGTGTTATCAGAGAGATAATCCAAAGATCACTTGTGTAGGAAGTCAGATTAGCAGAAAAAAAATTGAAGATGTTTATAACAGCCATGCCCAATTACAGCCTCAGAGAGTAAGATTTCCTTTCCAAAGTCATTCTGCTGTAGACAGTGTGTGTACTGGTAATCTGACAGTCAAGGGAGTGGCACGTGGAAGTCCACCAGGGCAGCTTCTAGATTTGATACAGCGGCACTGAGAATAAGCATGCACCCTCCTCCATTCAGTGCTGCAATAGAATGACACTTAAAATGTCCTACAAGAGGAAACACAACTGAGCCTCTTGTAAGTTGGGAGCTGCCATGCAGTCTGCTATAAATGCCTAGCAGCAACATCTTTGAAAAAAAAAACAAAAAAGGGTAAACTACCACCTATTAAAGCATTTGAATAGAACAAAAAATGAAAAACATAAAATACCTCAAAATACAAGCATGACTAAGTTGAGCAAACATATCATCAATAATAACTTCATGAAATTTCATTACTTTAGACTAGTCAGATATCCAGATGAATTCTGAATGCTGCTTATCTGTAAAATATGAAAAATCAGCTTACCTGCAGACAGATGAAAACAGAATATTGCAACATGAAAATTTTATCAGAATAATCTGATGACTTGTTACCAGTACTCATCTATGAAGCAGTGAAATAACTGTTCTCAAATACTAAGAATGAGAGAAGCCCATGAGGGATTTTTTTTTTTAAACTTGAGAGAGGTAGCACTGTGTCTTTTTCATTCTCCTTACATTAAACTATCCCTCATTCAACTTGTTCAGTAATTTCTTCAGTTTCTTCTAGTGACAATTGTTCTGATCAATTAATCTCCAAATAACATCATATCCCTGCCTGCGGACTACATAAATATTTTAAGTTCCCAAACGCTGCATGGCCTACACATCTGAAATAAAGCTAGAAAGCGTATTTCATGAACTCTCAAACGACAACCTGAAACAGGATAATACAGTATTCAAAGAAAAAAAAAGGAAAAAAGTTAAATTGTTCAGTTATCTCAAGCAGTTAAAATACAAACCCTACAGTATGCCTCTGACTTCTTGAAATAAGCTGCAGAGGAAAGGTTAAGAAAAAAAATAAAAGTCATCTTTTGACAAAAGGATTCAAGAAAAGTTTTTCAAAATTACCATGCCACCTTTATTAGTACATTGACAATCATAAAAGATGATTAGGAAGTAAAGTTTACAAAGTCATAATTTTACTGATTTGCATTTTTTATTGGTGATACAGACCCTCCAGAGTCAAGACAATCAGTCAACTAGCACAGATAAATGGTTAACCAACCTGAAAACTGTTCCCTTATCTAGTCTGCATAAGACTTTTTGTTATTTTTAAAAAGCTGCATATTAATTTTGGAAAAAATGATTCTCCCATTTACTTATGTTGTTCCACTTTCAAAACTGGATGTTAGCTTCAGACTTGCAGAGTGTGTGTGACGGTAGGTTTATTGTTACACAGACACAAAGCAGTTACATGCATTCCAGCTCCAAAGGAAGCACGCAGTTCTATTTGTCTTGACCTGTTTATTTCATTCCTGTATCTTTCACCTCAAAGTTGCATTAAGTAATGTGTCCATCCATATCTGTTGTAATATAGCTATTACATATTACACTTATTTCTGATGTGGAGTCATTTCTTTTTCTTCCCTTTACCTTTCTTGCCTCCTTCTCCTTGTTGAAGACTTTGATCACTACCTCCCATCTTTTGAGTTCTTGTTTTCAGTTTGGGAATGGTTTCTGCAGCGTACAGCATCACTGATTTACCTAAAAATACAAGGAGGGATCATTACTGATGATTGCTGATGTTCTGTTAAGAACATCCACACCATTTTCAAAGTTAAAAGCTTCATTTTCAGCTTTCTGTTACAATGAAAAAAAAAAAAAAAAGCCAAGGAGTTCTCTTTCATGTGCTGGATAGCTTCAAGTTCGGAAAAAGACTTTTGCCAGTTTTTTTCTGTGGGTTTTTTTTTTTTTTTTTTTTTTTTTAAAGTATTATTATTTAAGCACAGGAACAGCATCACAGCAGACCAGAACAGACATATCCCCTGACAACACTCAGTTACTCTCTTTCCTCAGGTCTTAATGGCCTAAAATAGTGAGGACAGAATGACCACGCAAAAAGCTACAAGCACTGTTTACAAAGACCCCATCATCTTCCTACAGGAACATGGTTTGAATTTGTCTCCTGATTTGTCTCCAGATTCTTCAGCTACTCTCATATTGGTATTCTTCTTGTTCTTTCCCTTAGACATATCCTTCTTTGGATACTTGTTTGCTTCCCTATTATATACTGATTCCTTGACAAGAAAAAAGGAAAAGATGAACAGTTCATAATGAATGACAAGTAATTTTTACAGGGAGCTGCTCCAGGGCCTGCCCTTTATAACAATAAGCACAGCCTTTATAATAATAAATACGTGCTTCAATATGAAAATGCCAACATAAAACTGAACTGCAAACTCAGTGTTTTATTTTATCTGTTTGGTACCTGTACAAATGCCTAATGGATGCATACAGCCTACAAGTGGAATTTATCAATTTTAGTATCAAGTTTTCCATCGTGTCTGTCAAGACAACAGTAAGCTAAAACTATATACTGAATATACCAATTACTGCTATCACACAACACTCTCCTAACTTCTTCTCAAATCAGGTACTGAAGAAAGAGCAGCATTTTTACAAACTCTGCTCACACAGACTTGATTTAGCTGACTGACAGAGGTAAAGAGATTTAATGCAATATTCTACAGTTTTTGACAGTAAAATGAATTAATCAAGACAAAATGAAGTCTTTCTGGTTTAGTAACAGAGTTTAAGCAAGATCTTCTACTTACGTGTTGGAAACTGAGGTAAACATGGATTGCCATCATCCTGTTTGAGCTGAATTCGTACTCTACCTCTGTACTGCACATCACGATTCCACTCTCTAGGATACATCTTATTTTTCTGTCATACAAAAGGAAAACTCATTTATGTATTAATTACTGGAACAATTTTCTGCAAAAATTGTCAGGGAGCATTTCATCTAAGTCACAGCATCATGGAATTCTTAGCAGATCCAAACAGCAACTGCAGCTCTCCATCAGCCTCATCCTCCAAACGCTTTGCCACTGTAGTAGCTAGAGCCCAAAGCTCCACAGTGTTACATTTTCAGAAGCACTGCTGTAACTTACTGTTCATTGCTGATAGGTAACAATTCAGCGAGTAACCAGCTACAGGGACTGTTCTACATGCCCACCAGCCTGAAATGCACACATAAGTTTCTGTCTCATCTCCATGGCCACAAACATTTCTGGACATCTAGAGACAATCTGTAGTTAAGTTGCAGTAGGTCACAGTCTGACATCCACAATTAATACTCACTGCCCTTATTTCTGCTACAGGCTGATTTCTGGTACTGGCTATTTCACAAGTGAGTGTGCACTGATAGGAAAGTATTTGTCTTTCAAAAAGCAAAGTGAATTTCTACAAGCTTTGGGATGCCAGTCACTTCTGAAAGAAAACATCTACAGTAAAGAACTGATTGAAAATTCCACAGTATTTTAAGTTATTAATCACTTCAGAAAACAAAGAGTGCTAGAAACACAAGCTCATTCCATCAGGAGAAAATTAATCAAGAAACTGAAGACCAAGCCAAGTATGGCAGTAAATAACCACTGCATACTGCAACTCTAGTTGAAACATGACTCCAAAGGACCGTGAAGATTTTAAGCAACAAAATTCTGTTATTATCAGACACTAGTTCCAAAAGATAATACCTTTCAATACAAATGTGCTTTTTAAAATTTGCAGAGTTGCACCTTGCAAGATTTGCTTTTATTCTGACTGTTAGGAACTTTTAAGAAACTATGATAGTCTTCTAAGAAGAGCAGTTAACAGAGTAATCTTTTTATAAGCATAAAAAGTGACACTGGCTTAGAGATCCAAGCAATTCTTGCCTTGCATTTTGTTTTCAAACATTTCCTTCATCATTTTACTCAGTTAACACTCAAAGAAAGAAAATATCTTGGCTGTTAAAAAAGACTTCATTGCGATTTATTCTGCCGTAAGAAAAAATAAAATCATAGAAGACAAGACACATACCAAGGTGTCTGTTTTTTTGTGGTTTTGGTTTGGCTGTCTGGGGGAGGGGAGGGGCCTGGTTTTTGTTACCTCTAACAGCACATTGAATCCAACTGCTGCACACACATCTTGGATTTCAGTAGATGTGGGATTTTCAACAGCCTGTTGAAACAACACGCTAAACATTAGTTAAACATTTTTGAGACAAGTTACCTATATAGAAATAGTAGCTTCTCTATATTGTAGAACTAGAAAAAGTGGATGGGAAAAGGAAAATACTTCAAATAGTGACAAATCCACTGCAAAAGTCACCTGGGAGCCCTTCTACAGTCCACAACACAAAAATAAACAGACAAGGATATAGAGAAATCAGTGAAACAGAAAGCAGATGAGAGAATTATTTAGGACAGAGGAACAAAGAAGGTAACAGAATTGCCTAAGAAAAATAACTGAAATGGCATACAGTTACACAGAACTAAAAAAGATGGCTCAGTAAAGGACTAAAGGGAAATTTACAGCAACAAGTGCAGGAAACAGTGGAACTTTTTTTTTTAGGCACAGGGCATCAGATCCATTCCACAGGTAGATCTTTCATTGGCAGTGTATAAGCTGTATAATTATTTTTACTTTTTAAACTACTATCAGGAAAACAGACAAAAAACTAACAGTGAGAAAAGCCCTTAACAAACTCAGCATTTGCTTGTTAAAAATATTATAAAGAGTGAGAATCAAAACTATTCTGGACAGACTGAAAGCAACAGAAACATCTGCATGCCACATACATTTTCAGTTCCATCTTTGACAGAGACCAGCAAAGGAGACAAAGCACAGAATATGGGCATACTTAGGGAAGTCAGCCACCAAGCTCACAGTCATCAACTAATTATTCTTTCCTGCATCTCTTCCAAATTTGGCACATCAATTCTGTAGTAGATTGAACATGGCTGATTGTCATTACTTCAACATCTTGCCAAAGGTGCTGCTCAGATGAAAACAGAAACCCAGGCTCTTTCATCAAACTAACTTGCCATGTGGGAATTTGGAAGATAACTTTGAAGTTTAGTTTTATTTTCCAACTCTCTATAGAACTACTACAGAACAAAACAAAATATTCTTTTTTCCTGCCATCCACCAACTTACTTTGTCTATAGGTATCCTTCTTCCTTCCGCTATTGTCTTCTTGTTGTTTAAATATGCTGGATAAATGCAGATAAATCTAAAAAAGAGAAAACAACCAGTTTAAGCTGTATAAATTCTTAGAATTGTTCACGTGTTCTCCTAGTAAAACAACAACAACAACTCATTTTGAGTATCAAAGCACAAAGCCAAAAGCACAGAATCTTCCACAGCAGTTCAGAACAACCACTCATTTTCCCAATTTGGGAAGGTGTTACATAGTCCCACTCTCAGTTATTCAGTACACAGCCTGACCGCTTGGCAGAAACCCCATTTGCATGACTGCACTCAAGAAGAGTGCACAGAGGACAGAGATACCGATTTGAGGGGAAAAAAAGAGAGGTGAAAAGAATTTTTCAAACCCAAACACAGAGAAGAAAGCATACTTCTTTGATTCAATTTCACCGAATCAAACATATTCTTTTCAGTGAAAAGAATGAATAAAAGTTTCCTTAAAATGAGGTAGTACCTCTATTAGTGATTAAATACTTCATCAAAGCAAGAAGTGCTTTTTTCTTGTGTATTTGAGTTTTTTTCTATCCATGTACAAGAAGAAGCTGGATTTCCTAAGTTACACAGCCTCTGAAAGAAAACATACTTAAAGGTTTGCTTAAGTTAAATTAGGAGTTTTCAAGATATTTAATCCCATCAAGCACACACAGGTACACAGAACCTCAATTATGCTTCCCATTAGAAAGAGAATAAAAAAAAAAGGCTGAGGTCTACGAGAAGGACTGCGATTATATGAGGAGTTATGGCAGTATAAGAAAATGGGGAAGAAGAGGTAAGCAAGTTATCTGGGGCAGTCTGAAGCCCACTTAGTTGGAGACAGACAAAGACCTCTGATCCTTTCTGCTCCAACCTCGTGGGCTGAGGGAAGAGAAGAACTGTACAGGCAAGAAAACTTGCGGATCACAATAAAAACTGCTTCATATGTGAAACTGAAGTGGAAGAAGAAAGAAAAGCAACAAAAGCAAACAGCAGGGGGAAGGCAGTTGCTCACCACCTCCCATGGGCAACCAGTGCTCACACAGTTGCCAAAGAGAAGGTAGCTTACCTCCCTCTGATTACCCTCCCTTCTCATCGCTGAGCACAGCATTTGGTGACTATGACTCTCTGCAAGCCGACTACCTGTATCTACATGGAACAGTTCTGCACAGGAAAACGTCAGTCTTGCAACTGGCATTCTCAAGTGTCAACACACTACACTGCCCACCAATTCTGTCCTGACTACCTTCTGCGAGCTTTAAAAATGACGTGCTGTTTTACAAGAGTGATAGCACAGTGCGGCACCGAGCCACAGAGACAAGAGAACGACACCTTTTAACAGCTTCACTTCAGCGGCACAAAATGAGCCTCGTTGACGTGGACCTCTGAGGAAGCAGGGGCGACGGCGCAGCTCCTTGCTTTCAGCAGGGCGCGAACGCCGCTGGAGCCGCGCCGCCGCTCGGGGCCGGCCCCGTTACACCCGCACAAACTGCGCGGAGCGGCCGTGCCACCTCAACACGTGGCCATGTTACGTCGCGCACAGAACGCTGCCGGCTCCGCACACCACTACCCAAAATCCAAACCCACCGTCTGAAAGCGTTATCCAAACGCTGCTTCCACTTGAAGCCACGGCCACATCACCCTTCAGCCCTGCCCCGCCCCGTCAGCCCATCCCAGCACCACAGCCTCCCGCAGATACCGGCCGGTTGTGGCGGCCCATACATCGAGCCGCCCCTTGCCTCACCTCTCCTTGTCGGCCGGCGAAGCAGTAGCGGCCGCAGCCATTCTAACACCGCGGCCCTGACGGCCAGGCCGGCCCGCCTTCCCTCAACTCGGAAATCCCGCCCCCTCCTCCCACTTCCGGGGATTCGATTGGATAATGCTGCCATCTGTAAAGCACAACGGCCTATCAGAAAGCGCGGCGTATCCGTCAGCGCCGGAAGTTTGAAGAGAGCCGGACCGTGCGTGGCAGCGGCATCCCGCAAGGGGCGGTGCTGTGCGTTGCCCTAGAGTTCCCTGCGGGGCCTCGGTTCAGTATCGGGGACGTTCTGTGCCGGGAGGTCGGAGTGTGACCTTCCGGCGCCTCGGGGCCCGTGGCACAGCCCCGGGTCTGTTTGGCCCGTGCTCGCTCTGCGCTTACCCCGACGGGGTGCTCAGAGGGTGGCTGTAGGCCGGGCCCAGCGGTGTCCCTCAGGTTCACGGACGGCCCCGGGGCTTTGCGTCTCCTCCTGGAGATCTTTAGAACTGATCACACTCGGGCTGCGCCTGCAGGAGGACGCGATGCCCCGGACAGCCTCCGGAAGTCCCCGCAACCTCAGCTGTGCTGTCGCGAATCGCACGGGGCTGACTTCGTGTGCCGTTGCACTCGGCCGTGAATTTTCACGCAGCAGCTGTGTGCCAGGACACGCAAATAAGTGAAGGCGTTCCAATTCCCTGTTACATCGTTACTGAATATCAGAGCATCCGGATCTGCATGAAGTGCTGAAGAGGAGGATGCTGAGTCCCACTGCAGCATAGGTGTGCTTGCAGGGAAGATTTGTTCGTGATGTTACTTGTGATATGATTCCTGAAAACGGGAACAGCTGAGTTAAAACTTCAGAAAGAAGCCGGATGGCATTTGGCACCTGTCAGTGTGTTACTTGAGCTGTTCAGTCCTTTGAATGATAGGCAAATTTATTGTCTTTCATCTTTGCTCTCGTGTCAGAAGTGAATATGCTGCACAAAGTACTGCAGAAAAGCAGTATGAGCAGTACAACTACGTGGTCTCTGCAGTAGCAGGTTTTGGAACTCTGCAGCTGTTCAGGAGCAAGGCAGGTCTACACACAGGTCTACACAAGTATGACACAACGTGCTCTGCGGTTTCAAGGTTACACAAGCAGAGGAGAGCCAAGTTACAAGAGAAGCTTTTGATCCATTGGTAGCTCAGTGCTAAGGATGAGCTACTGGAGGGTGGTCTGATTGCCATCAAGATGGATAAAATGGAATGTAGCTGTCTAAGGTTATTATTGCAAGCAGTTATTTAGATAGCCATTTTCTGTTCTCATTTTGTTAGCTCTGGATTTATAATGGGTTCCCTATGTTCTTGCTTTGTACAGTCTTTATTGTATACACATGCACACATGCATGTTACAGTTTAGATCTTCTATCTAAAGATCTTTCTATCTAAAAAGTGTCAGTGCTACCAGGACCTGGAGAGCTGCTACGCAGGATGTCAGCGCTTAATCTGCTCATCCATCAAAGTGGCCACGGCTTGTTCTCTCAGCTGTTTTGTTTTGTTTTGTTTTCCTGGAGGGAAGGGGAGCTGGCCTCCTGCATCTCTATCCCAAAGGTTTACACAAGAGATAAGTAATCACCAGTGTTTTTAACACCTTACACGCAAATTCCACGCTCCCATTACTTTATGTGCAATGTGAAGTGTGGACAGATGAGATTTCATTACATGCACAGAATCACAGAAACGCCAAGGTCATAAAAGACCTACAAGATCATCGAGTCCAACCATCCGCCTATCACCAATAGTTCTCACTAAACCATGTCCCTCAACACAACATCCAAACGTTCCTTGAACAGGATCAGTTCTGGGACCTCACCAGTCAACAAGGAGTGCTGATAGATAACGGAAAGTGGCTCGGCTGTCACCTCCGCCAGTTCCTTCAGCACTCTCAGGTGAATCCCACCCTACCCCATGGACTTGTGACAGTCCAGCTGCAGCAGTAGGTCTCTGACTGCATCCTCCCGAATCACAGGGGCTTCAGTCCGCACCCCAGCCAAGACTACCAGGTCAGAGAGCGGAGTACCCTGAGGACAACTGGTCTGACCTTTAAAGACAGACATAAAGAACACATTCAGAACCTCTGCCTTTTCCTTATCCTCAGTGGTCACATTCCCAGCCTCATTCAGTAAAGAAAGGAGATTCTCCTTAGTCCTCCTCTTACTGCTGATGTATTTGTAAAAGAGTTTCTTGCTCCTTTTTACCCCAGCGGCCAGGTTGAGTTCAAATTGGACTTTTGCCTTTCTCATTTTTTCTCTACACATCTTAATTTTTTTTTTTTCTCTGTGCAGACATGCATTACCTACTGCCTAATCTGTCATGAAACATGGTCATCACTGTAGCACATTATCAGTCAGGCTTACTGCAGTTTGTTTTTGTCAAATATCTATACACACAACACTTTCAGGGACACACGTTTCAATACTTTAAAAATGTTTAGAGCTAAATCTCCATCTGCAGGATGATACTCTAGAAAAATTTAAAGAACTATTTAATTGTTTGAGGAAAAAAAAACTGAGTTATTTGACTTCATTTTAAAAAAATGCCTAGAACTTACAGAAGTTTTAAAAGTTACTTCTTCATCCTGTTTTTTCCCCCTTTTTCTTTCTGCAATATTTTAATTTCTGTGTTACATTTTAAAACAAATTGTGGTACATAATTGGACACCAGCTTGAGAAACACTGCTTTAACATTAAAGAAGGCACTGAATGCGGTTGCAATTTGTGAATGGCACAGTATTGCTACTGAACATTGACTTTGCTCTCAGTCAGCACACTTAGTTCAAGACAATAATTTTGTGCATTTGCTTAATGCCGTTATATTTATCAGTTGCATGCAGCTTTTTAATACCAACATAGTGGGAGTAATGGCTTTTCTTCTAAAACAATGTTTAAATTTACCAAAACAAAGCAAACACTACGTAACCTATACTCTGGTAATAGCAAAAATGTTTATTTGAATCTTTTCCAGATGGAAAAGTCATGAAAAAACATTGGGATTTTCTGGAGTTATAGATTGTATCATATGGTGTATGTGACCGATCATGAGAGAGGTGAGTCTTTACTGTATATCCTATTATTACAAACCAACCTTATTTCTTGATGCATGATATTTTGATATTACCATTCCTAAAATGAAGCATTAGGTACAAACACGGCAATTTAATCATAGAATCATCATTATAGAATGACTGTAGATGCCATTCAGTTGCTACATTTGTTCTTGGTTATAAGAAAAAACATTTCAGATTTGAGTTCTGTGCATTTCTTGCCTGAAGATTTCAGGGACAGAAGTAGGTCACAAAGCAGACTAGCTCAGACTCATTGCATCTGCTGTCCCTGATATCTGAAATTGGATGACAAAGCAAGGAGAACTTAAAGAGATTTTAAACACTAAAAAAAAAATAAGATGTATTTGGTGGTGATGATAGGACTCATGTAAGTTTGTAGCAAAATTTCAAGACTGCAAACAATGTCTTTGCTTAGTACCAGGGACCCTCGTTTCTGAAGCTGTGTAGACTCCTGAAGTTATTCCCTTTGTTGTATGTGCTCTAGAAAGGGAAGTGGCAGGGAGCAGTAACCATTGCATTGCACGCATTCAGAAAATTCCCTCACTGCATATACTGTCAACAGCAAGTCATGGGAGCTTAGTCAGAGGCTGTTTTACTGTTGTTAAGCACAGCTAGGGAAGAAAAATAAAATTAAAAAACCTCAAGGGCCCTATAAAATTAAGTAACAGAAGTTCAAAGTGGCTTTGATAGAGACAGTACATTTCACTTGGGGTAAATCCAAATGGTTTGCACAAAAGGGGCAGAACAAGCACAAGCAAATAGTTTGAGCTAAAACTGCTGTGTTTTACTGAAAATGTGTGGAGATGGCAGCTGATTCAGACATAGCTTACATGTTCAATTTTCTCTGACTACATGTAACCCTGCATAGTTATGCTAGAAATGTCTGTGTGATTGGGACTAGTGGATATCATTCATAAGGCGTGTTTTCAGCTAAATTGGTGCAACAGATTTGTAGTGATCTGCAGAAAATACAAAATAAAAAGGGGTTCAGAGTGAAATCTCAGTTGGTCCAATTGACACTGAAAGGAAGGAGCCAAGCTAAGAAGATTTTATCTGCAATCCATGTAAGCAAAGATTCGAAAGTATACATAACAAAAAAATGGAAACGTGCTTCATGAAAGACCACTTTAAAATACTGTGTATACCATTTACTTGAAATCCAGGGACTACTCTTAAGTTCCTTCTATGTTAGCAAGCAAAAATCTTGTCTTCTACCCTAGCATTTTGAGATGTACTACCCATGCTTATCCTAGAGCGACAACAGCTACAAAACGGTATTTTGTAATCAGCAGAAACACCAGTTTTGTTCATCTCAGTGGCAGAAGCACATGAACAGTTGATATCCTGTATATCATTAAAAAGCATAGCTATGCTCAAAATTTCCAAGTCCACACTAGGCTTGTTACAATTCAGCTGCCAAGAGCAGCTGACGTGGCATCAGATATTTGCCTAGAGACAGATCTCCTCAGCTGTACTCTGTTGAGAGCTCCAAGTTTTTTTTGATTACATCACCAGAGCCCATCCCTTGATTTACATGGAGTAAATAAGTAAACACAGCAGACACTGCACACAGAATTTCACTGAGGCACGCAGGTGACTTTCCGGCAACAGATTGCCAATGGACTCTATCTATTTAGCTGGGAACAGTAGAACCAACAAAATACCAAGAGAAAAACAGTGATTTCTACGCAGCTCTAATTCCCCAATAAATGCAGTCCTCAGTTTTACATCCTCTTACTCAGTGTCCTGCTCTCATCTTGTAGAACAACTGACAGCTACATAAAGTCAGTTCGTAGGATAAAAAGACACCATCAACCATCCACATATATATGACACAATACACAGTATTTGCACTGAGCTCATAGATTTCACTTAAGCTAGGGGGTTTCTGTTAGTATGACTTCTAAATAAAATTAAACACTTGAGTGTCAAATAATCAGAAATGTAGGGACTGGAAGTGACCTCTGGAGAACATCTAGACCAACCCCAAATCTGATATGACTGTTTAACTGCACAATCATAGAAGGAACAGAAAGACACCAACCCCCTTTCATCATGCAATGGAATAAAAATAAATAAAAATCCCCCACATCCCCTTTCCCTCCCAGAAATAAGAATGACATGTTTCTAGACATTAATATTAGGCCTTTCTGTGATTCTGGGCAGCCTGCTTTAGTATTAAATGTGGAGGTTGGTGGCCCTACATGCAGCAGGGGGGTTGGAGATTCATGATCCCTGATGTCCCTTCCAACGCTGGCCATTCTGTGATTTTGTGATTCTGGGCTTAATCTTCTACCTTCCTGCCCTTCCTTACGTCTGCCATCACAGACCTGAGTTAAAGGTCTAAGATTTCACAGGCAAACTCAGTTCTGTTTACTGTATACGCAAGCTCCTTTTTCCTTTTTCCCTCACCCTAAGCGATGTTATTTTGTACAGAATTGTTACGAAATGTAAGCACTTAAAATCCTGCAGTTTTCAAAATCTCTACTGACTTTAAGCTGCCTTTTCTACATTCTGACTATAAACTTCTCTTTCTGCATATAAATTAAGGCCAATACGTGTATATTTCTGTGGAACACTTCAAAAATAGGGTACCAACTAATCAGTCTAGAAATTAGAACTCACCTTCTGAAAGACAGAGTTACAAGTATTAGGAAAAAAAAAACCAAAAAACAACAATGTAACTCGGCAATAGAGCCTTTTTTTTTTTCCTTAAATGCTTCCAGTTGTGTGTCAATCCTAGAGTAAACAGAAGAGTGCAGAATAAGCATATGTATGTAAGTTCATGTTTGTATGTGTGTGCTGGGAATCAGCAAATCTAGGTCCCCTAACAGTCTCCAGTCAGGGTTTAGATGCAGTAAGGAGGACTGAAATTAACTAAGCTAAAAGTCATACATAAATAGGCTTTCTTGTGAACTTCTGGTAAAATAAATAAGATGTTATGGAATTACACTGTGTGAGAAATAGATTTTGTGTAGTTTGTTTTGAAATGAAACATGGAAGAGAAGAGAGAGGCCTGTTGGTAAGACGTGCATCTCCCTAAGCTTTTATCCACTTTAAAATGTGACTACTACCAAAATAAAACTGCATGGTTTCTTATATGGTTCTGATGGTTATATGGTTCTGATATGCTTTGTCATCATCTTAACAGCAACTTTCTTTTTAAATGAAAATATATTTCTAGTACAGCAGACACCTAAGATTTAGTTACAGCCAAGAAAAGAATTCCACTCTGACAAGGTGCAATCAGGAGGAAATTTTATATAACACCACCAGTAATAAGTTATGCATCGCAAGACTAAATTCAGAATTAGGATACTGTGAAGCAAAATACATCAGAATAATTGAAGAAATAATTAATTACAGAGATAAGAACAGTAATGCATCTCAGGCAAACAACAAAACTGAAGGAAAGATAATTGTGGGCTGAGTTCATCAAAGAGAAACAACATTCATAGGTGGGAAAAATGTATTTGGTATCAGAGGACAACAACTTATTTGCTTGCAGAGAGCCAGCTCAAGCTTTACACATTTAATTCCCACCAAGAAGTAGGGCCCAAGAGATGCTCAGTTTGTATGTATGTCTTGAGCTAATAACTTTGGATGGAAGTGCATTTCACTGAGTGAACAATTTCCCCCTACACCTTCAGATCTTAATTGCAATTTCATGGCCACTCAAAAAAAAGAATGCTTTCACCAACAACAAAATTAAATAATTTCCTTAACTCCCAGAAGTGGCAGAAATTTGTAAATACAAGAATCTCCAACTATATGGAAATCTCCTAAGGAACAGATGACTTGCAAAACGAGGCTAGGGAGGCATTACTCAGTCTTAGAATGGACAAACTGCACATCTGGTAAACTGAAAATTGACAGCAGAAAACGCAGATATTAAATACATACTTGGTATTGATCTGGCATCACAAATTTACTGACACCTACATGACTGTTGTAAACTCTTAAGCTCTTCAGCACCACACCAAATCCCCTTGCACTTCCAATATGTAGCCAAATACAACACACAACCAACTTACATTCAGACTAAAAACTCAACCTTATCTACATCAACATTCTCTAAAACATGTTTACAGATAAAATCTGTTACTCTGCATATAGTAAACTATGAAGCAAGAATGACACTTCTATACGTGATTTAAAATGAAAAAAGTGGGGACATCTCTTTTGGTGATACTTAAAAGTGCAAAGGAGATGGCTGTGGTAGCAGCGAGTGAACACATTTGCGTGATGACGTTAACAAAGTCCTCAAAGGTCTAAGCATGGGAAGGAAGTCATGCTTCACATAAATGGACACCTCACTTTTGATTCGTCCAAACCATACATCCAGAACAAAGCTGTCACATAGGTGGATTGGGCTTTGCATGGTGTTACTGCAAGTAGGTGAAATTACGTTTAGGTCCAAGTCTACAAAGAAATGTTAGCAACATTTATGGTTCTGTGTACTATTTAATGGAAAGTGTGAAAAGACATTTGGGAGGCACCTAGCAACAAAAGACTGCAAGAGGATGCTAAAGTTCTCTTCAGCATTCATGATCAGATTCAGATCGTCCCTATGGGTAATACTCTCTTCATTAGGGACAGGGTAATGTCTCTCCCCTTTTTGAGCCCCCTCTAGAAAACAGCTAACTACAGTAAATCATTCTATTGGAAGGATTTAATATTGCATTTAATATTGCAAATTTAAAAATTAGAATTTCACATATGGTAGAAAAAAATATTTCGTAGTTTGTGATGAAGAAAAAATTATTTTCTACAAACATCATACTTCTGATGTTAACTGTCAGAATTTCCAGGGTAAAGGACTTCCCTGGAACACAGCATGTTTAAAAAGTGCTGTTAGGCCACTTAGCCAGAAATTTAAAATGAAGAGGAGTACAAAACTTTTATTTGCTTTTGCCATCTCAAGAAGGATTAACAGCTGTTCTTGAGCTGGGGTGTACTGGCTTACAATTGCAAGTGATGCTTTGATACAATTTCCTTCCATCAGCTCTAGCTGTTTTCTTCTTTTCTGCTTCCCTAGGCAGATTGTCTGATCTTGCACTGAGCAAATTCAGCATACTTAAGAGGCTTTAACCCAACTCCTTCCAACCAGTTCTGCTAGGTAACAGCTGATCTGGACTACTGACGGGTCAGATGAGTGCTGTTGCTTACATTAATTGATGTTTATTGAAGAATAGCATAATTGATTACTTGCATTCAGAAGCCAACTCCCGCTTAAACAATATTCCAGTCTTGTCAGGAAATCATGGCAAGGCCATGGGCTTTCAATTTTCGAGCTACCAAATCTGACAGTTTTAAGAATTATCTATGAAGTTTCAAAGGAAAATATTCTGACAGAGAACTGTACGTGAAAAATACATATAGGTAAGTTCCCTTTTAAAGTTTGCAATATTTAGTCAGAAAAGCTTCCATAAAAATTGCATTAACTGTGTTAATTACAATAACATTACCTGTGGCATACAGCAAGAAACTAGAATAAACATTTTAAACATAAAAAACTGCAGAAAAGACATGTTCCCACTTTTCACATAAAGAACACAAAGCTTTATTAAACTAAATAAAGGACAACTGCAGGTCGGCATTCCAATCACTAAAGTTCTATCAAAATGTATATCCCCAAAAAACAGTAACATGAATCTTGGTTTCCTTAGCTCCTTGCTTTCCTTTGTTTTGCCTCAACACTGATGATGTTCTGGTTCATGCTGTGCCATGCTCATTATAATAAAACCAAGGAGCAAGAGAAAACTTTAGCAGCATAAACCAAATCTGGCAACCATTAATCTAGACATTGTTTAACAAAATACAAGACTAAATATACTTAATACAGCCATTTTCCATTTTTCTGATTTTATATTTCCAGGATTCATTTTTATAGTTAAGCGTAAAATCTACCTTTGTATCCTAATCACTAATATGAATCAAACATCATGTATGTCCTTAAATATTCTAGTAAGTCTCTTAATGGATACTAAGCATTTTAGATAAAGAATCAGAGAAATGCTTTGGTAAGGAATTTCAAAAGATCACTAAGCATCTCTCTGCACAAAGGCAATGTGAAATACACTGAAGTCCATCCCCTTATGTTTCCTAACCTTCTTCTTAAAACTTCTGTAATGGAAATTTAACAACTCCCATGGGAAGCATATTTTAGTGTTTCACTACCCTTATACTTGGAAAGTTTATCTCATCGGTCTTTGCTACAAACGTAGGTTAGTTATGAGGATATTAAGAGAAACTTCCCAATTAAAAAGAAGTACCTCCTAGACTATCTAAATAAGCCACTACAACTTTCAAATACATTCTGGTGTTTGATACGCATACAATTATTTATTTCACCTCATGTTTTCATGTTCTTTAGATTACCTCAGTTACAAAACTGAAACTAGAACTTATCTATAAAGTTTACCTTTAAATTCTTAGATAAAGGAGATGCAAAGCTGGTATTAACTGACTATCCTGGGTAAAATGGTATACCTTCAGAATATTCTATTCTACGTTATCAGTTACAAAACATCACAAAAAAAAAAAAAAAAGTATAACATACTTTGTAATAAAGATGGTCTTCTATTTTAAACGTAAGGATGGAGTATTCTACTCCAACAGAAAGTCCTGACTTCAAAACAAATCAGTCTGTCTCTATTTCATCTTGAAAAGTACAGTGATGTTCATATTAAAAGTTTTGTGAAGATACCACGTGCAAAATATTATGAATGCTAACATGCTGTTTGTTAAGAGCTACACCAACCAGGTGGTGTGGAAATGTAGCATGTCTTGAAAAATTTGACAAGAGGCAAAGAATGAAACAAAATAAAATACCACTTGTTCAAAAAATCCGCATTTTTGGCATTGGCTTTGAACTTACTGCTGACAGTATCTCAACTCTGTTCATAAACACTACAAGTCTTATTAGGAATTCAAGATAAAGTTGATTAATCTTAATAGCAGATGAAGCACAAAAGCCACAGATGTGAAACACTGTAACAATGTTAAGCCTACCATAATGTTAAATTACTCTATTTCAGCGCTACTTAAAATTAGGGCATCTTGAATCCTGAATACCAACTATTTAGAATGCTAACTTAACAACAGTCGAGCTGACACAGAACAAAACTGAAGCAATTTTGTGGTTTCTTCAATCATGCACAAATGGTTAATGTTCTATTATCTCATGTTTCTACTTTAAATGAAATCTTATTTAAATTCAATCTATTTATATATTTAAAGCACTAATCTATCTTTTCAGCATTATCCTAACACAAACCATATTTGCATCAAAAAGGCTTGAGGCAGCAAAGGTCCTGGTTTGCATACAAAATCATTTTTCCACTACAACAAACGTTCTGTGATGAAATTGTTGTGGTATTTTTCCCTTTATAATTTTTTAAAAAAATAAAATTGCATGAAGATTTCAAATAGAATTAAAATTTCATCTCACAGTAGTCACTATTTCACATTCTACATTATATCCCCAATTAAAAAAAAAAAAGTTTCAATTTATAAATATCATTTTTATACATGTAATATTGTTTCGGTTTGCAGTGATGAAAGCAATTATCCCACTTGACTGCTTGCAATACCCTGCCTTTAGCCTTGTTATGCACCTGAGATGGGTGAAACTGTCTCCATTACAATTATATTACAGAAGACCTGAGGCCTGATCCTGCAACTGTTACAAACATCCTACAACAGCCATTTCAGTCACTAAGAATGAATATTGAGGGTGCAAGATTCTCCTACATCAGGCCATAAGTGTAAATGCATTATACATATTAAAAGGTGACATCTCAAAGTAAAATACTGTATTTTTATGTAATGCAAAAGTAACACACACGATTTACATATAGTAATAATTTATTCTGAAATGTTCATTTTAGTCTCTGTTGAGACATCATCCATGTCTCATTAATAAAGAGCAGCCATCTCACCTCAAATACCAGAATATACAGCAAGTTACAGCATAGCAAAAATGAAGGGAAAAAAAAAAAAAAAAAAAATCTACCTACTTGGAGATGAAATCTAGTTCAGGTAAAGTAATTTCGGTCAAGGTTTTACAGTTACACAGTTTTTCTTTTTTTTCTATATATTTTTTTCTTTTCCCCAGGGCATAAAGAAAGTGTAAATCGTTACACCATACCTATCTATGCACATTATGTGACCACAAATGTTATCGTTACTTCAGAAAATAACCGTCAGTTCCATTCATGCAGAAAAGCAGGCTGGGAATGCTTGTTCAGCAGAAACAATATTACTGTGAATTTCACAGCCACATGATTAATTACTGGGTTAGATGGACTCACAAATACTAAAACTGAGTATATTTTTTTGCATAAATAATACCAGTTCTTCCCTGATGTAGTTTAGTCAGTCTGTAGTCTAGAAATGATTGATAAAGCAGTATGACTCCATCATCTCTATATGCAATGTTCAATGATTTCAAGACAAGCAATATTTAAAGGATTATGGGATGGGATGCTAATTAAATACATGTTAAACATACTGTACAAATATACTTGCATTAGCAATTTTATTTCAAACTGTCAATCACATTTTCCTCCAAAATATTACCAGTGAAGACAAAGTATACTATCAAATATGGCTTCCAGAACAAGGACTCTCTAACAAGAATCAAACCTATTTACAAAAACAAACAAACGAACAAACAAAAAAATCAATCCCCATCATTTGAAGTTTCATTTGAAATAAAACTTCTAAGTAGCTGCTGTGTTTAATACATCAGTTTTATTTTTTGATGTATTTAAACAGAAGTCACCAGGTAAGAGCCAGAATGACGTTTGGGACTCTGAGTTCCACTGGAGTCTGTATTTTCAGACTTTGAGTCACGTTTCTTTGTGCTGTTATTTACTGGTGTTGGTATCTGGGATGGCCGAGCTGAACTATTGTCCACACTACTCTTCCTACGGCTTGGATTGTAATTGAAAGGAGTTACTCTTGCTGCAACAGCACCAATCGGAGAGCTATGTTTGCTTGAACTACTGGAACTGAATGGTGTACGCTCGCTCACAGTACTTTCGTTGTTTTCTGGTGCAGGAACAGGATTGGTCTGCAGAGGTTTTGTTTCATTGCCTTTCTTGTCTGGACTGTCCATCTGAAAGAAAGAGTTCAGACGATTTTCTAAACCAATGGTACGAACAGGAACACTTCCATTCCCTGGATTTTGTTTTTCTTGAATTTCTTTAGAATCTTTGCCATTCACAACCCCCTTCTCTGAAATACTGTCAATAACAGGAGGAGTATTTCCAGTTGGGGACCTTCCAGATCGAGGATTGTTAATTGGGCAGTCCTCAATCCTCACCCAAACATCCTCAGTCTTAGAGACAGCTGGTGCCATCTGATAAATTAGAGTTTTGGAATCAGAGCTACTTGTGGCACTCGAGGAAGGATGCTGAGGATCATTCATTATTTGGGGGATTTCATTTTCTTTTATTTTTCTCCAAGTACCTTTTGCTGGTGCTTGGCTTTCTTTACTTTGCTTCTGCCCAGAAAGAGAACTTCCATGTTGCTTTTCATCTTCACTTTTTGCCTTTTCACTGGATTCTGAAGAAGCTGACAGAATTGAGGAAGAACTTCCAGTTCTTCTCCAAGTGCTTACACGAGGAAGTGATGAGGAATGCTTACTATGTTCACGTTTCCATGTTCCTGATCTGTTGATTGGCAATCTAGATGGACTCTCAGAATGAGAACGCGTTATATCATGACGTTTTGCTGGTCTCCCATCATATTCTACAGAAGGGCTCAGATTAGGGGGTAATTTTCGCCAGCCACTAGTTTGGGCAGTTGAATGAGTGGATAAAGACATATCAGGAAGTGAGGGACTTAAAACTGGAGTCTGTAGTTGGGATCTTGTGGGAGAATCTGGTCTGGAAGGAGACAGAGATTCAAATGAAGCAGACTCTTCCAATTTACGTCTTAGAGTTGGGCTCGGAGCTTCTTTAATAAAAGTTGACTGGCGAACAAGAACAGGCCTCTCAGACCTGTCAGATTCACTTCCGCTAGATTTTGCTGATGACATTCTGGATAAGTCAGTCTTTTTGTTTGATGCACCACTACCAAGAATTTGATTCAATCCTTTGGAAGCAGACTCACTTCTCGGAATGCTACTGGTATTCTTAGTTAAGGCAGTTTGCTTTGTAAGGTTTTGCTGGCTCATCTGCCTGCCTGGTGATGTATATGACATTCTACCTGAACTTGAAGATTTAGTTGAAGCAGTGCTAGGAGATGATGTTCTTGGCAACTGAGACAGTTTGTTGGGAGGACTTATACCATTTCTTCCTGGGGAAATTGAGTTTCGGCCTGGAGATTGCAGAGGCCTGCTCAATGGCTGCTGTTGAGGTCTAGAAGGAGTGGAGTCTCTAGATCCTGATCTAGAAGGTCCTTTACTTGATCCACTCTGGTTCAACCCTGACAGCTGCCTAGTTACAGGAGCTGGCTCAGGTTTTACTGATGACTTGACTCCTCTTGGGGAACTAGCTGAACTCTGGCCTTCACTGGGACTCTTGGAATTTGTGTTTTTGAATGGGGGGCCTTTTTTGGAAACAGGACTAGTACTTGAAGAACTATTTCGAACTCCCGGAATATGAATCATTGTCCTGCCACGTGAAATCGAAGGCACACTTTGTTGTGGTTGCTTTAACTGACTTGAAACTTCTGAATTGGAGCGAGCTTTTCCTGTAATTATACTTTTATATACTCTTTTCCCTCCTTTGATTCCCTTACTTTCGGATTCTACTTTTTTAGATTCCAGTGTACTTTTCTCTCCTGGCTTAAGAATTCGTGGACCTTTATTACTAGTAAAAGGTTTCTCTTCTTGGTCCGGGGTAAGATGGAATGGTGATCCCAGAGAAATACCAGATTTTAGTGAAAGGATAGAATCAGAGTCTGATGAAGCTTGTCTAGATAGTGATGCAGCAGCTGCAGCTTGATGCAGGCTACTAACTATAGAATTTGCACCTTCCTGTATAGCTTTCCAATCAAAGTTTTCTGAATCGGGTGAAAAACCATGTTCTGAATCTGGCCTCTGTATCTCTCTCAAATCCAGTGTTAAATCTTCTGCCAGCATACCACCTACATTTCTGGAATTACTTTTTTCACTTTCACTCTTTATTCTTGATGGTTTTTTCTTTTTAGGCATGGCAGAACTAATGCATTCCTGCAAAAGATCATCTTCTGAGTCAATACTTAGAGAACTCAGAGAGCTATTTCTAGAGAAACATACTGGTGTGTCTTCAACATGAAATGATTTAGGTGCATAACCAGAAGTCTGTGGTCTGTTGGATTCTATCTGTGAATCAGGAGCCTCAGTTCGCTTCACTGGTTCTTCTTCTTTGTTGTTATTGTTTTCTTGATCAATATCACTAAGGGAACTAAGAGATGAATTGCGAGAAAAACAAACAGGTGTGTTTTCGATAGCAAAATTCTGCATCTTCTCATCCGTAGCTGCCCCTCTGTCTGGAATATCTTTATTTGGCTGACAGAAAGTTTTAGACTGGCTTCTGCTTGTTGGGTGTTTTTGGCAAACTTGTGTCCTATTACTTGGTTGCTGACTTGAAGGCTGTTCCACATTAGGGCAGTCTTTAGTTTCTATTTCCTTTGCTTCTTTTCCTTTTCTTAATTCTGCCTTTTCCCTTGAAAGGTCAACATCATCATCATCAAAATCCAAAGAACTTAACGAATCATTGCGTGAAAAACAATACGGAGTTCCCTCAATAGGTGTGTAATGATGAGGGGAATCAAATGTAAAGCTTCCTCTTACACGCTCCTCATTATTTGAAAGTTTGTCATTAAAATCTCTAGAATTATTTTTAAGATTCTGTTTCTTTGTATCTCTGTTCTCTGGATAGCTTCTTTCATTATTAATTTGGCTTTTAGACTCTGTGTTTTTTCTTACACGTGCTCTATATTCACTATTTTGGGGAACAGGCTTTACTGGTGATGTTGGCTTCTTTTTCTCAGTTTCTGATTGATTTTTGTTATTTAAAGATGTAGATGCTTGTTGGATTTGATCCATTATTTTCTTCACTCTAAAAGGTTTGTGACTTTTACCTTTTGGCATAGCTGAGTTAATGCACTCAGCCAGAATATCACCCTCTTCTGTTTTGTCATCATCCAGTCCTGGGCCACTCACACTTATGCTTTTTACTTTCTGAGCATCATCTGTACTTCTACCTTCTGTAGGAATAGTATCCCTCTTCTCAAATTCCCCTGACTCTGCCCCTGTACCCACACTGTCTACATTGGCCAACTCATTTGGTGGTGATTCTATTGTGAGATCACTCAAAGATGTAGCTGTTGAAAAATTTATTGGTGTACCCTCAACACAATATACTCGTGGCATATCATCTCCTGGTGTAAAACTCACATGCTTTTGGGATTGCAATCGGCTTTGGGAAGGCAGAAGTTTATAAACTGGCAGCTGGCTTGGCTTTCTGGCTACAGGAGGAGGTATTTTTGGAGCAGATGATTGAGAAGGCTTTTTGGCTTTACGTGAAGACTTTGTAGGCATTGCAGAAATAATACATTCTTCCAGTATTTCAATATCATCATCATCAGAATCATCCAGAATGTCTTTTTCTGCTTCAGAAGGCTTCTCTGCTTTATCCTCTTGGTTATCCTTTGTATCATCTGACTGTTCAGGCTCTGCTTCATTTCCATGTTCATTTTCATGTACAGGAGGCATTATTCTTAACTCTACATCTTTCTGTATAAATGGCTCATCAAGAC